GTTTTGTGTTAGCATATCGAATAACATCATTAAGAGAAAGGGTGTGATATCCGTGATCAGCATGTCAAACCACCCACTAAGTTTTAGCGAAATCCATGATTTTAAAACTTTGATGTCGTGATTGTGGGATGATGGGAGTTTTTACTTGGATCTGGTTGCCTTTCTTCGCCGGTATTAGCTTCGCTTTGGGTGTAGCGTGTTCTAGCCATTATATCGTATTGAAGGGCTCTGTCTCTCACCTCTATTTACCAACACTAACTGTACCTTTCCATACATGTTGCTAATAGTCGCAGGTTTTATAGCGATTGGGCGAGCAGATTGTGCGTGACAAGTGATGTTCTTACAACTGTCTGATACCATTTTACGTGTACCGCTTCATCAACCAACATCAAATTGTTTTGAGGAAGGGAGCTGACCATCGTGATGTTTTTATTTAGCGAAGCTGATGACTTGCGACTCTTGATTGTGCATTTCAAAGTACTCATCTATTTTCGATTCTGGTGATTTTGTATTTTCGATGACCTCCTGAACTGACCGTTAAGTGTTGTACATAAATATCGCGCTTCCGCTTCTTATTGCTTCAAGTGAAGAAATTTGAATTCCAAACATTTGCCATGATTAGTGTTCGGGAGTTACCTCGCTTTTACCAGATTTGTCCCTAAGCGTAAATAAATGGGGTATTGTTGGCAGAGATGTGTAAATATAGATGATTTATCTTTGCTTTATACAGTTTACTATGAGCTGACAAAGAAGGTTACCTGGCCGAAGTGGCGATTGAAGATACATAGTTGAAACGCAGCTTGATACACTTAAATCTGCCTTCCGTTTCTCAGGAGGAAGTTGTGGTAAATTTCTGCTTATGTAATGGCATATCTCACCATTAATTACTCTAAAACATCAAATCCAACTTTAATAACGAAGTATAGGTTATTTTATTGTAAGTACATGTATTCAAATACTTCCCAAATATGAGAATCAAATTTGCAAGCAGCATTCCACGTTACAATTGAACAGGGCACAGATCTCCTATTGAATCTTACAAAGCCTCTTGAAAATCCGCAATGAACTCTCTGGTAAGTACAAATGCGTGCAAGCAAACGTACTAGTACGTTTGCTTCCACGCATTTGAGTACTGCAGCGCTATATGTTTAGAGCGCAATCTCTTCCTCGAGGTAAAACGATCAAGGGCCTTAGCAAGGAAGGGAAGAAAAGCTTTGATCTAGTTATTGTGCCATTTTTAGTCAAGGTGCACATAAGAAGTGTAAGGGAACCAAAATTACAAAGTGTTTGCTAATCGGAGCCCTAGTTTTTCCGTAGGTCTCTGCAGAAGATCTCAAAATGGTATGGCGATTTTTCTACTTTCGGTTTTCAAAGGGTTTGCATACAACCCTAACTTCTTGTTTTGCGACATCTTTCCACATTTGGAGGCTTTCATCGGCTAGTTGTTTAGGAAAACTGGTTTCAGTGAGTAAGTAAAAGTATGCATTTGAATTTACTGCTCAGATGCATTCCCAACCTTGGAGAAAGCTCGTGGACATGTTAGTTATGGGGTA